TGTTCACTGAGTAATAGGGTAGTTTTATTTTTTTTGTGATTTTCCTACACAAAGATATGGATTTTTGAAGTTTGGGATCATTTTCTGATTTATTTAATTCCTTATTTATCTACTTAAACGCGCGACGCCACCTCATCCTAGGCGTCTCCGAAGCTCCACGAGGCATCCTCTGGTTCAAAACCGCCATCCACCTCAGCGCTGACTCGACCCACATTTCATGTAAGAAGGCGCTGTCCGGCTAGATCTCGTCTGTTGATGAGATAACCGCGTGATTGGACGGCCCCACGTCATCGTCCCCCATTTAGCCCGAGAACCATCCATTTTCAAAGCTTAAGATCTCACTCATTTCTAAATCAAATTAAGTGCGGTTCTTTTTTAAGTGCACGTCTAGGTGTGACAAACACATCCATACTGTAATCATGCCATTAAATTAGCTCTAATCAAATGGAGGATTAAAACAAACTCGGTAAGAGGGAAAGTTCAATACCTTTGCTTTGAGAAGCGAAGCTTCAATCAAAGGTGCTTCACACGTTTGTGGAGGTCCGAGGAGGCTAGGGATTGAGCCTCTTGATGTGGTGAAAGGTCTTGGTATGAATTCGACCTAGCTCAATTTCAGGTGTTGGTCTAGAGCAATGCTAGGGGCTATGTTTGAGGGGTATTTGATGGGGCTTCTTCTTCTTTCAGTGTGGTGATGGTTTAGGTGAGTTTAATTTGATTTTGGTGGAGTGTAGAGGTGTGGAGAGCTCTGTTGTCTCCGGTAAGGTTTTAAGCTCAAAAATTGAACTCCGGCAAGGAGATTTAGGGAAATGGGGTAGTTGGGTTGCACTATGGAGGTCTCAAGGAAGCTCAGGGAGTGATTTTGAAGGATTTCCTTGAGAAAATTTCAGCACCATCCCCATTGGACATGGAGGTGAGCTTTTATAAAAGTGGCCAATGGTGGCTATGTGGGTCAATTGAAGGGTGCAAAGTTCTCCCTATGTGTAGAGAGGCTCTAAACTTAAACTTGGATGAGGAGGCCTAAAGATTTGAATTGGGTTTTGATTTTTAGGGGTGGCTCATGATTTTAGTGTTTTCTGGCCACTAGGCCAGCAGGCTAGGCCAGGGGAGGTGGCTAGAAGGTCAGGTGAGCTAGGGGAATCTATCACAACAATTAAATGGGTTGGTGTTTAGTTTTGGAAAAAGAAATCCTTGGCTTAAGAAAATTTGAAATCAAATCCCTTGATTTGGGGATCCCTTGGTCCATGGCTCATTTGGGTGGTTCCATGAGGTTTAGTCTGGTCAATAAAGGTCATTTGGGTGGTTCCATGAGGTTTAGTCTGGTCAATAAGGTTTAAATTTTGGTTGTGGTGGCCTTCGGTTGGCCAATTTGGTTTGATTAGACCAACTTTTGGTAAAGGGGTCCATGTAGGTAAATTTGGATAAAAGTGGGTTTGGGTTAGGCTAATTTTGACGTTGAGACCAATTGATTGATCAACATTGTGTACGTGATTGTAATGAACATTTTTGGTGAAAGATTGAAGTGGTTTTGAGTTCAATTGGGGGTCCAATTTGAGGGATTACTTTAATCAATTTGGTCATGTTGGGCTAAACTTGGGTCTAGCTTGGGTTCTAGACTTGGGTCTAGATTGGGCTAAGCCAAAATTGATTATTGAAAATTATCAATAGGAACATCATAAAGAGTTTTTAACAAAAATTTGGTGCCAATTTTGGGAAACGTCATGAAGAGTTTTTAACATGTATTGGGTGCCAATTTTGGGGTTAGGGCAATCCATTTGGTGGAATCTTGAGGTATGGCCAATTTGGGGCAAATTTGGGGATTTTTGGATCTAATTTAAAATTAAATGAAATCAATGTTTCACCAAGGCCAATTAAAGGTCAATTTTGATGTTTAGGAATATTATTAAGAATTTTCAACATAAATTGTGACAAATTGAGGAAGCTATAGGTTCAATTTGGTGAGATCAAGTCATATGGCCAAAATTTGGGGTTTGACTAGATCAAAATTGGGCTCAAAGCATGAAAAAATTGAGCTTGGATTTGGTTTAGATTATTCATATAGAAGGTGAATTTGAGTTTAGAACTAAAATTGGGGGAAATTGGGACCAATTTGATGGACATTTAAGGAGAATTTAGGGAAATTGGGCCTTTAAAGACAGTTTGGGGGTTTAGGCCAAAATGGTCAAATTGGTGAAATTGGGTCATGTGGTAGTTGAGAAAAATGAAAATACGAATATTTTGAAGGTTTTGGAAAATTTTGGGGTTTTTTGGAATTTTTTAAATTTTGGGCTAAGGAGGGGCATTTTGGTAATTTGGCAATTTCTTTGGTGATTTTGGGTACTTTGGTGATTTTGGGTAATTTGGGATTTTGGGTAATTTGGGTGTTTTCAAAAGGTTCAAAATGATTTTTGATCAAATTTAGGTGTTTTGGGTAAATTTGGGAATTTTGGCCAAATTTAGGGTTTCAAGGGTACTTAGGTAATTTGGGGGAGTTTAGGGGCAAAAAAGCCAAGTTGGGTATTTTTGGTAGAATTGGAGTGCCAACCACCATAAATGAGCTATAGACCAATGACAGGAAATCCCATTTGAGTCCTCTATGTACTAGTCTTAGCTAAACCCTAGCTTAGGGCCAGTGGGTTTAGGGGACCATCTACATGAGTCTCCCAAAGGATTAAGAGATCAAAATCGAGGAATTGTGAGTTTATATTTATGAGTGATTATGAATGAGGTGAGTGTAGTGAGTGCCTTAAATCTAGACCAACACCTAGAGTAACCGCAAGGACAAGCAGTACTATAGGAACTCTCCTTGAGCTCCCTCATAATGACCCCACCTACTAAGTGCTAGAGGTTAAGACCACTATGTGGAACTTCAAGTTGAGTAGAGAGGAGTTTAAAATTTCTAATGGTGAGGGTTTCTTTTCTAATTTTCTAGGAATAGTCAATAGGAAAGACCTATGGCTAGACCCTAGGCTACTAAAGAGGAAAACTAGACCTCAACCAAAAGTGAGGTCAACACTTATGCTCAAATATTATCTAAGAAGTCTATTGTGATTGAGGGGGCACAAATGAAGATTTTAAAATGGTATGTGGATTTTGATCCAACACAGGAACCACCATTGTTTCCAATTTAGTCTGTAGATTTTGATCCAATAAAGGAACCACTAAAGTATGTTTGGGAACACTAAAAAAAGATGCTATAGACTCCACCCTTTCCTGAGAGCTCACAAAAATAACAATGTTGTTTCACCCTAGCATATTTTTTGATGCTGATGTGCCCACTGACAGTGAAAACATGGGATCAAGAATCAATTCACAAGGAGCCTCTGCAAACAGGAATGTTCAACTTCCTAAAAATTTTAGTACTTCGCCCTTACCTATCACCCCATCTATTCACACCTAAATTCAAGACATCCCTGATCCAGTTCTGGAACCCTGTACCTCATCAATCCACCACTCACATCTGTAGCCCAACAATGTTTTTGAAGCTCGAGATATTACCACTTATCCCATTGTTCGCAAAATTCAAGAGTCTGGTACTGCTGAAGAAATTCTACCATATATAAGGCATATATTGGAGGAAAATTGGGAAGTTCATAGAAGCAGAAAGAAGCACAAAGGAGCCAGGGAACTGAAAAATTTATTAAATGGCAATTTAGTTGATCCTAGTCAAGAATTGTTGCCAGGGAGACCTTCTAGAGTCTCCAAAACCTCCCATCATGATTAAGTTGCTTTGTTGGAACTTCAGGGGAATCTTTGATTCTAATTCCTTAACGAGACTTAAAAATCTCAATAAAATCCATCATTTTATTTATTTTTCTATTTTAGAACCTCTTACACATTATATTTCCAAAAAATTGTATAGAATTTTTCCACAATTTGACATCTTCTCCAATATCAATGCAAGATTTGATTCTTTTTGGAGAAAGGTAAATAAGTACAAAGTGCTGATCAACCATACTAAATTTATTCATGTCAACCTACAATGGGGCTTCTTAGACACTACAGCTACTTTGTCTATGTTGGATGTACTAGGGGGGACAAAGAGGAGCTCTGGCCGAATTTAAAGTCTTTGCAACTCAATATTAAGGGGACCTTCATCATTGTTCGTGATTTTAAAATGTGGCATATCCTAATGAAAAGTTAGGAGGCAAGCCAATTGACTTAGAGAAGATGATTCAGTTCTTTGATAACATAAGTGCTGCCTAGCTGGTGGAATTACCTTGTCAAGGACCTATGGATATCTGGAGAAGAGGGAAGCTTCATGAGAGACTTGATAGATTCTTAGTCAACTCTCAGTGGTAGGAAACATATATGCATTCAAAGGTTGCTCATCTTCCCTATATCTGTTCAGATCATAAACCACTTTTTCTGTTTATTTCTACCACCAGCTCTAAGCTCAAAGCTAGATTCATATTCCTAAATGTGTGGATTGAACATACTAATTTCCTCTCTTTTTTACAATCTGTCTGGATTCCAGATGAAGCCCTTGCACCTTGGGTTAGACTTTGGTGTGTCAAGAATTATGTGGTCAAACACCTCAAAACTTGGAACTGGACTTATTTTGGAAATCTGTCTCAAAGAGTTAATGATGAAGAAAGGGATTTCATAAAGGTAGAACAAGAGAAGGCTTGGGGATTATATCTGAGAGGGAGATTTTTGAAGCTAATGCTAATCTTGTCCAAGCAATCAATTGTGAGGAGAAATTACTTAAACATAAAGTTGCAATTAAGAGATCCATTAATGGGGAAAAAAACACTAAAATTTACCTAGCCTGCATAAAACAAAGGAGTTCTAATGATATTCTAATGATAAAGGACAACAATGGCTTTTGGCAAATTGATAGTGACTCGGCTGCATTCAATCCTGTTCAACACTTTCAAGGGTTTATGAACACCCCCCACATTTGTAATTCCAACTCTTTTGATGATTCTCTTTTTGATGTAGATTTAAAGCATACCACACATCATGACTTGACATTCATTCCCTCTAAAGAAGTGACTTAGATGGCTTTGGGCACTATTGATGGTGATGAGGCTGCAAGAGCTGATGGCTTCACTTCAACCTTTTACATCAAAGCTTGGTCTATTGCCAAGAAGGAAGTCATAGAAGCAGTACAAAGCTTCTTTAGGGGGTTAAACATGCCAAAATACTTTGCATTGTCCACTGTCACCCTCATTCCTAAAGATGAGCAAGAGAATAGTTGGGACAAATTCAGGTCAATTGCTCTCACTTATCTTACATCTAAGCTCATTAGTAAAATTATTATTTATAGATTACAATCCATTTTACCCAGAATTATTTCTTCTAACCAATCTGCTTTTGTTAAGGGAAGGCAAACTACAGATAAAGTGCTTCTCACTCAAGAACTCATCCTGGACATTGACAAACCATGCAGAGTTGGAAATTTGATGTTTAAATTGGATCTATCAAAAGCCTATGACACTATCAGCTGGCGCTTCATTTTGACAGTTCTGAAAGCAAAGGGGTTCAACTTCAACTTCTGTATGATTATCCAAAGATTGCTACAAATAAGCTACTACACAATTCTGGTTAATGGTAGTTCCACTGGTTTCTCTCCTACCATTTTTATCTTGGCAAGGGATTATCTGTCCAAGCTTCTTGATCAAGCTTATCTCTCCCATGAGCATAAAAGATTTGCAAATAAAATCAATTTAATATTGGTCATCTTATCTATGCTGATGATGTGATCATGTTTTTCAATGCATCCAAACCTGCTATCATAAACTATTTCGAGGAACTTTCAAATCTCTCCCTTAACCCAAACAAATGCCATATTATTTTTAGCAAAAGAGTTAAGCCAACTTCCAAAAATTGCATTAAAGATTTGACAAATTTCAAAACAACTACTCTTCCTTTACATTATTTGGGTGCTCAACTCCTAAAAAATAGAAAACCACAAACTCAATTTGATGAGGCAATCAGATTTGCTATTTGAGTAATGCTTTCCTCATTAATGGTGGTAGAATTAGTCTCATTAAATGCATTATTTGTTCTTTCTCAATGTACCTATTGCAAATGTTAAAAAAAAAAACACATAGCTGTTATTGGAAAGGATTCTTAATAGATTTCTTTGGGAGGGCAAACACAAGAAGCTTCATTGGATGAAGTGGGATAAACTCTATACCCCAATCACTTTTGTGGTTTGGGTATTAAATCTTTCTAGGAACTTCACCACATCTTCTATTGCAAATTGTGGATCAAATTCAAAACTCAAAACACTTTTTGGGCAGAATTCATGAGGGTGAAATACTGCAAGTACATCCATCCTACACTTATTTTGAAGAAATCGGGAGATTCCAAAACATGGACTGAATTGCTGAAGGTTAGAAGGGAGGCTGAAGATCTTTACATTTAGGATATCAGAGATGGCAAGATTGATTTCTGGCTGGATAGCTAGCTCTTTGATGGCAAAATTGCTGAAGATTTTGTGGATGTATCTTTTCTACTTATGCAAAAGTGTTGGATTAACCACCAATGGAATGGGCCCTCATGAGCAATCTGGTGAGCAAAGAGCAACATCTTTAGATAATTCAAATCCCTATTACACCTCAGCATATGGATATAATTATCACCAAGATTAATTAACATCTCTCCTTTACTAAATACACCTACTATCAATTATATAATTGACCTCTCATTGGGTGGGGCAAATCTATCTGGGTGAAGTTTCTCAGCCCTTCCATGTCCTTCTTTTCATGGAGATGCTTCCATAATATTCTTCCAACTGATGATATCTTAAAACTAAGAGGACTGAGAGACACTTCTAAATGCACCTTATGTAACTGTGAGGAAGAATCAATATCACATATTTCTTTCCATTTTCAGGTTGCCCAAAACATATGAGGGGGCATTCTTACATAGTTAAAGCTTCAACTTAATACTGATTAATCTGATTTTCTTGATTATTAGTGTCTGTAAAGGGATCAATGCTGAAATTATTCCATGCATCACTACTTGGTTCATATGGATGGTAATAAACAAAATAAAAAATGAGGAAACTTGTGTTTCACAATAAAAAATCAACATTAATTGCATGTCATATATATTCAAGATCACCAAGACCATGGGCTATAATGTTCACAACAGAAAATGGAGTTAACTGAAGGATTCAACTTTGCAAAAACCTATCCCTCTCCAAATATAGAAAATTTATTGGGGGAAGACTTTTATCCCATGGTTAAAAATTAATACTAATGACAACTACAAGGAATTCTCAGTTGGAATGGGGGGATATTAAGAAACCAAGAAGGGGATTGCTTACTACATTTCTCCTCACCTATTGTTGCCACGAATGCTTTACATGCTGAACTACAAGCAGTGTTCTGGGCTATTAAAATTGCCTCTTCTATGGGTTGGAGATATTTACATGTGGATTTGGATTCTCAAGAGCTTACATCCTCCTCCTTGGCTTATTGCTATACTATTCAAATAAACTTTGGTCCTCTCTTCTAAGAATAATTTGGCTATACTTTGGAGTCACATTCCCAAGGAAGGGAACATATGTGCTAATTGGTTAGCTAAAAGAGGTGTCACTTCTTCTTCTCCAATGTTAAATGTATCTCCTCCTTTTGAGCTTGCTCTTTTGACAAGGGGGGACAAATGTTCCCTGCCTTATATTAGATGTAACCCTTTTTCTAAATCTTAGTTCATTTCCCCTTTATATATATATATATATATTTGT